AAACAAACTCATTCATAACAACCAATTCGGCTTCAAAAGAGGCAAATCTGTTCTAGATAGTCTACTTTACGTAGATCATCTAGCAACCAGATCCTTGTCACTAAAAAAACACTTAACTATACTTTCTCTCGACTTCGCTAAAGCTTTCGATAAAATTGGCATCCACACCCTTATCCGCCAGTTGGAGGAATGGAAACTAGGCCCCGCATAATAAAATACGTCCACAACTTTATGTCTAACCGGAAAATGATAATAAAAAACGGCACATGCCTCTCCCATAGCTTCCCTCTCGATAACGGCATCCCTCAAGGTTCCTCTATCTCAGTCATCCTTTTCCTAATTTCCTATAATTCCCTTACCAATATTATCTCCCTTTCAAAACAAGTCAAGTTCACTGCCTGCGCCGACGACTTCCATCTTATCATCCAACACAACCGGAACAGAAACCCCCAAAACTATCTTACAACCCTATTTCAGCAAATCCGTGAATGGTGTTCTTCCTCTGGATCATCCCTCTCTCTTGGGAAATGTCAAGTCCTACACATATGCTGTAAAAGAAACTGCACAGCAAAAATAGTCACTGGCTCAATCAACATTCCGACTCTACAATAATCCTTGGCCTGACAATCAACAACCGGTACAACTGGCATTCTCACATAAACAACCTAACAACATCCTTCTCCCGTCCCCTTAACATCATTAAGCACCTCTCCTCAAGAAAATACAATTGCAACACCGCCTCCCTCATCCAAATCACAAACTCCTTCCTCATATAAGGGCAGCACTTGGTGCCTTCAGAACAACACCAACAAATAATTTGCTGACTGAATTAAAAATAAGCCCTATTCTAATCAGACAAAAATACCACACTGGCAAACTAGCAACTAAACTGATCCACTCGCATGACTCCCCAATTGGCAAATTCCTCAAACCAACAATAAAATAATACAGGTACCCCAGCACAATTGATACAATAATAGACTCCTGCAAAACCCTATCCCTCCATCTCTCCCCTGCTAAAAACTACCCATCCAAAAAATACAACCCAGAAATAATCATAAAAGCCACAAACACATCCCTATCCCACTACAACAAAAACACCACACCCCCTATAACCTTCCACCAACTTTTCCACTCTATAAAAAACTCCCTCCCCAACCATCAATTCCTCTACACTGACGGCTCAAAGACTAACGACATTGTTAGCTTTAGCATAACAAATGACCACAACACCATTAAAATCGGACTCCAACCCCAATACTCCTCTGTCCTCACAAGCGAAGCTATAGCAATTCTTGAAGCGGTCCAAATCTGCAGCAAAAACTCTGGGAAATTCGCTATATGCTCTGATTCCCTATCTTCCTTAAGAGCCATAACCAACTCCAACAACCACTCATACTACCCCAGCGCAATCAGAAACATAATAACCAAACTCTTCCCCAAAATTATACTTATCTGGATCCCAAGCCACGTAGGCATAAAAGGGAATGAGAGAGCGGACAGAACAGCCAAGGAAGCTTACAATTATCCACTCATTCTTACCCAAAACTTCAACTCCAAAGATATCACACAACACCTCAAAAATTACTACAGTCACATAGAAAAAGATCTGCAAAACCAATGCAACCATTGGTACAAACATATTGCACTCAACACCCCTTCAAACTACTCCCTCAAAACCACAAACCTTAGCAGACAACAACAAATAATAATTAATAGACTACGGCTAGGCCACACACAAATCACAAACGCCCACTATATTAATAGAACAATACAAAACACTTGCCCTTTATGCAATAATGCCACAATAGATATAAAACACATATTAATCGACTGCACTGCACTTTCCCAACATAGAACCTCATCCTTCTCCCACGAAAACCCAACCCAACTCCTCGCAAACCCAACAACAGAAAACTCAATGAAAATCCTCTCCTTTCTCCACAAAGCCAACCTCACTCACAAAATCTAGCCTTTAAGTCCTTTGTATAATACTAAAATCTGTATATATTTAATCGAGCGGTAGGCCACAGCAGCCAATGCTCAATATCCTATGTCAGCCTTTAGTTTACAACCAACCGCTAGCTTTATATAAATAAATAAATAAATCAATACAGTCTATACCTTTTATATTAACAGTTGTACAGTTACAGTTTAACACACACAGCTTGGAATTTTCCTCTACATTTAACGATAGTTTCTATGTCAGTTTTTTGATAAAGTCTCTCGATTGTCACAAAATTAACACCGAAAATCTAGAATCTGAATCTCACATTTGAAGAAAACTAAAAATTTAAAAAAAACAAGAAAGGAAGCTAACTTCGGCACGCCGAAGTTTATATACCCTTGCAGATAGAACTTCTATGAATAGGAATCCATACAATATAAATTATATATATTTTTGTTAAAAAACAATGAAGTAATACCTGCTTTCATTTCATTCACCTATACATATTATATTTGCAGTTTTACATTCACAGATTTGCATTTTTTCTCTACATCAAACGATCGTTTGTATGGCACCTATATGATATAGTCGTCCGATTTTCATGAAATTTGACACAAAATGTAAGACTAATATAAAATGGCAATACCTCAAATTTGATGAAAATCAGCTGAAAACTGAAAAAGTTATAAATTTAATTGTATTAATTTCTCGATCGTTCCTATGGGAGCTATATGATTTAGTAGTCTGATTTTCAGAAAATTGTATGCAAAATTGTAGAGTATAGTTATATGGCTATATCTCAAATTTGATCCAATTCTATTGAAAACTGAAAATGTTACAATTTTTTTTGTAAAAATTTTCCGATCATTCCTATGGCAGCTATATGATATAGTCGTCCGATCCGGCCCGTTCCGACATATATACGAGTGAGAGTATATAGAAGGCTAACTACAAAGTTTCATTCAGATAGCTTCAAAACTGAGAGACTAGTTTGCGTAGAAACGGACAGACGGACAGACGGACAGACGGACAGACGGACAGAAGGACAGACGGACAGACGGACAGACGGACAGACGGACATGGCTAGATCGATTCGGCTGTTGATCCTGATCAAGAATATATATACTTTATATAGTCGGAGGTGCCTCCTTCACTGCGTTGCAAACTTCTGACTGAAATTATAATACCCTGCAAGGGTATACAAATCTGTTGAAAACTGAAAAAGTTTTAATTTTTAATTGTATTCATTTCTCGATTGTTAGATGATATAGTAGTCCGATTTTCATAGAATTTTACATAAAATTGCAAAGTAATATGAAATGTCTATATTTAATTGTAATAATTTCGCGATCGTTCCTATGAGAGATATAGGATATAGTAGTGCGATTGTAGAGTAATATGAAATGGTCTCGATCGTTTTACACAAAACTGTAGAATATTATAAAATGGCAACATCTTAAGATTTTATCATTTTGAATGGTATTAATTTAATTGAATGCTGAAAAAGTTACATTTTTAATTTTATTAATTTCTGGATCGTTCCTATGGGTATGATATATAAAATACATACATAAAATTTTACACAAAAATGTAAAGTAATATAAAATGGCTATATCTCAAATTTGATCACATTCTGTTGAAAACTGAAAATCTTATAATTTTTGTAGTAAATATTATCCGATCATTCCTATGGCAGCTATATGATATAGTCGTCCGATCTGGCCCGTTCCGACATATATACGATTGAGAGACTAGTTTGCGTAGAAACGGACAGACGGACATGGCTAGATCGACTCGGCTGTTGATCCTGATCAAGTATATACTTTATATGGTCGGAGGTGCCTCCTTCACTGCGTTGCAAACTTCTGACCGATATTATAATACCCTGCAAGGGTATAATAACAATTAATATTTTGTCGGTAGTCCTTTCTGTTTAATCACGTCAAGACGTCTGGGGATAGAATGCACAACTTCTGATGAAATATTCAGCCACTCCTTCGATAATGCCAATTTGACCTTTCGGATCACCACGTTGCATTCCCGGGGACTTGAAGCCTTGGGACTCGCAGATTTAGGTGCGGTCTCCAAGCTTTCGGCTTCCTAGTACCGTTGCACGATGATCCTAATGGAAAATCGTCTTAGTTTCATAATTTGGACTATTTCGCCATACGATTTGCCTTCATTGTGCGGATTAAGGACATTCTTTCTATGAGCTACGTTGGTTTCTTTTCGCTTATTCTCCATTTTCTACAAATTTAGGCAAATGGCAGAATAACTGTAAATTTTTTTTAGAAATTTTGTGAGGTCTTGTGCTTATACCCTTTAGTATAAAATAAATCAAGTAGAAATAATAGTCGTGCCAAGACTTTTGTGTCACGAAATATAGTCCTTTTCTTTTAAAGTTTCTATAATTGTAAATATATGAAACAAAATATATAAAAAATATGGTAATTTTATACATAATTATTTAATTAACTGTATTAAAACAATGTATTCAATAAAATAATGTATACGCCTGGAAATATCACTTAAAGTTAAGGTTTAGACCCGTGCCAACAGTTTAGTGCGTCACTGTATATATGTATGTAAAAGACTAACTGCAAAGTTTCATTCAGTTACATAGCTTAGAAACTGAGAGACAGGACGTGGCTTAATCGACTCGGCTTTTGTTGCTGATCAAGAATATATTTATGTATATATGTATGTACCTAATAGGGTCGGAAATGTTTCCTTTACTGCGTTGCAAAGTTTTGACTAAAATTATAATACTCTGCAAGGGTATAATCAAATTACCAGACTGATGTACATATTTAGTTTACGCATGTATGTATGTATGTTCATACATAAGTAACACAATTGAGTTTAGGGTAGACCTTGTTAAAATTTTTGTTAAAAATCATAGCCCAAAACCGAATACTAAAGGCTATAATTTAATAAATTGTGAACTAATTCTGGGATTTTTCAACATACATATGTATGTACATACATATATAGATACGCATGTATGTATGTATGTACATATGTAATCTGTATATCTATATTAATTACATACCTATATAAACGTTCTCCCATGTTGTATAAATAACGTCAGAATCTCTTCTGTTCAATAACGGCATCTATTAAGTTAGTATTGTAATATTGTATTCTGATATTCTGGCAGAAGCAAGTAATATTTTGTGCATCAAGTTTGTCGCTATCTATAAAGAAAATTACATACATATAGTTTGTATTTACATATGTTTTATATAAATATACTACATACGAATGAATTGAATATGAATTTATATATGTTAGACACTAATTGTTATGATTACGACTGTACATGAAAACTTGATACAAACTCAAAATTTACATATGTACATATGTACATGTATGGGCAATTCTCAGGTGGTCGAATGCGACATTCGTAGGCATTCAAACTAAAACAACATGTGCCAAGACTTTATTTTAATTCAAAAAAATTTTAAACGTATAGCTCTTGGCTAGCTCTATAATTGGTGCTAAGATCTTATTTTGAACCCTTGTTCGATTTCAAGATATTCACTAGCATGTACTGCATTCACACGCGACAAAAACAGAAGTTACATTAGCAAGAAACCAATTTAAGCTCTGATTTAAGCGAAACGTGATAAAAATTTTTATTACAATAAATTTTAATGAATTATGCTATGAATTATCTTAATAATGTTTTATGTTTGATTATAAAATATTAAGTATTGATTTTTTAAATTCAATTTTAGTCCCGGTCGCACGCGACATTTTAGAAAGCGATAATTCAAACTAAAACTGTACGAACATTAGTGATCGCATACATACATATGTATGTACATATGTTATGTCCTTTTGCTCATTATATTGACTCTTTGCATTCTCTGTGTGATATTAGAAAGCAAAAGTAAAAGCAAAATGCTTTTGTTTAAGAGATTGGCATCAAAAGAAAATATGCTATTTTTATGGCTTTTTTTATAAATTGCGTTTGCGCGTGTTTGACATCGATTTTTATATATATTGTAGAAAATATAAAAAAAAACGTTTAGCCTTGATCAATATGATCAATTTTTTATGAAACAATGCTAAAAAAAATCGTTTTTAAGCAATTTTAAGTTTTTGGCCGGGGTGGATCTTTCTTGAGAATTGCCCCTATACATACATCGAAATTATTGTGTAACTAAATAACGGTAATAATTAAAACACAAAATCGTTTAAATACAAAATAAATATGTATGTACATAAATACATATGTATGTATGTATGTTGAAGTTATTCCTTACCGTCACTGAGTTTCAGTAACTACATACACACACATATGTTCTATTCACCCTAGCTAATGTACCGGATGAATTGCGGTTATAAACAAGCAAATTTAATAGAATATTGAAATTATTAAGGATAGAACAAATAATAACGAAGGAACAAATATAAATAAAACAAATTCTCAAGAACGCGTATGCTTGCGAAGAATTACTTATGTATTTAAGAAAGGAAGTTGGCAGGTATTAATGCGTGCAATTATCCGTCTCGATCTGTAAACGTCACCAAATAATCTAAATTCAGTCTCCAAAGACAATCAAAATTAAGCTCTGTGATCAGTCCGGTCAACTGAAGGGAACGGAAAAGCCGTTACTCTCTCTGGGAATGGAATGAGAACTTGGAAATTGATGCACATACATACATACTTACATTTATACATACATATCTGTAAGGCTCAAAGTTTACGGTTACAAAATAATATGGAGATGCCGGATTAGGCGTAATGAGTTAAGCTTTTTACAAAAATAAGAGTTTCCTGATCTGAAAACAAGGTTAACAACGGTTATATATGTAGGTATATATATATAACATACATACATACATACATATATATATATATATATATATATATATATCATATAATTGGCCAGCAAATATTTTATTTATTTTATAGCCTTGCAGGGTTTTTAAAATTTCATTCAGAAGTTTGCAACACATCAACAGCCGAGTCGATCAAGCCATGCCCGCCAGTTTCGAAGCTATCTGAATGAAACTTTGTAGTTAGTCTTCTATATACTTCTATATACTATACTACTATACTCTCACTTGTATTTGTTGTATACATATGTATGTCGGAACGGACCGGATCGGACGACTATATCATACAGCTGCCATAGGAATAATCAAAAATATTTAAGGAAAAAATGATACCTTTTCCTGTTTTTACCAGATTTTTATTAAATTTATTATATAGCCACGATCGAGAAATGAATACAATTAAAAAACTTCAGTTTTCAACAGATTTTCATTAAATTTGAGACATAGCCAACATATATTTATTATTATTATTATTTATATTTTAAGTAAAATTTTATTAAAACCTGACCACTATATCTGCCATATAAACTAAAGAGGAAAATGCGAAAATGTTAAAATAATTATTACAATAAGTAAAGAAATGAAAGAATGCATTAGTTCATTGTTTTTTGACATAAATAAATATAATTTATATTGTATTAATTTCTAGTCATCAAAGTTCTATCGGCTTCTCTTTTCGTTTAAATTTATTGCATGAATACACACTTGACTTATAGTGTTTAGGCTGTACTACTAATTGCCCCTTACATATATGTATTTTTCAAATTTTTTCTTAAAATTTCGATTTCGTACAAAAAACGACGTTTTAAGATGGCCACATAATTGTCACACTTATAAAAATTAAATTTTGTTTTTAAAAAGCACATTGTTCTATTCTTATGTTATTTGTAATTTAATTCATGTTTTTTTTATTACATTTGAGCTTAAATAAGTAGCGGAAAAACTATTACTTTGGAAGAACGAAGCATTATTTATAAACTAAACGCATCTGGCCAAAAACCAGCTAAAATAGCTAAAATCACGAAATATGGTTTTAGTTTATATAGTGCTAAATATATGAAACAAAATAAAATAAAAATAGGGTCATTTTATACATAATAATTTAATTTAACTATATTAAAAAAAATGTATTCAATAAAATAATGTATAAGCCTGGAAATAGCACTTAAAGTTCAGGTTTATAACAGGTTTCAGGTTTATACATATATAATATATATGTACATATATTTATATATTATATATGTATACATATATACATACATATCCAAAAGGAAACATTTTTGGGTTGTCTAATAGGCCGTTCCCTAAATCTAAAATACCCTACAAAATCCTTAAAGCTCAGGGGAGCCAAAATACAATTTTTATAAAAAGTTTAATTATAATAACCGTCAAAAAAAATTTGTGCCAATTATGTCACCACCCAATTTTGTCATTTTTTTCAATTTCTGGAAATAATTAAATAAAAGAACATGTTACATTAAAATCTCTTTTATGTATTAATAAGTTTACTTAATAGGCTATAAAATGTCATAATAGTTTTTCCCTTTTTTATTAACATTTAATTAGAAAAATTTATACTTTTTCTGAAGAATTGAGCTGAATTTTCTTGTATGACAATAGCTATACCTACAATATAGGAACAAATGTACATACATGTATTTATGTATTTATGTATTATGTATAATCGTAATCGTATTTTTATAAAATTTAAAGATTATTCCATTTCTATACGTTCATACATACATATGTATGTACATACGTACATATATACTATATATCTTATCTTATTTGCAAATACATATACATATGTACATACATATAAAAAACGAACGATGTAAAATTGTTCATATTCCTCTTGTTCTGTTTGTATGGCAACTTTGATCCTATAAGCGTATACTGCAATAGAAAGAAGACTATAGTAACGGGCAGACTGGCATGGCTAGATAAATTCCTTTGATGCTGATCACAATTACATATGTACATATGTACATACGTACGTACATTTGTATATATTACGTCCATCACTGCATGGTAAACCTCTAAATAAAATTATAATACTCAGTAAGGGTTTAACAGAGAAATAAACAATTATGTATGTAAGTGAACTGATTTCTTATCAACTTTTAAATTAAATGCTTATGTATACATGGTTTGACTATACATATACATATGTATGGGTACTTAGGGTATTCAAGGTCATGCACATTGGTCGGAAGGTCTTGAAGTAGATTTTTATTTAAATTTTGTGTGTAAATCCACCTTCAACTTTATAAATTATCACCTTCAATAGTTTTAAAATATTAATTTCTTTATGTTTGAAGGCAACAGTTATTAATTACGATAAATACATATTAAGTGTATGATGAAGGAAAAGAGAGAGATAAGGGCAACATGGACCACTGGAAATTGAGTGGAATGAAAGAGCGTGGACCCGCAGACTTTTTTCAGTTCTTTAATCGTGGTTTCTGTGTCGATGTCGACGTCGTTCAAAGACTTTTGCGGACTAATTTGCTTTGTGAAACAGTTCCTCAGTCTGTTTACTGTAAAGCCTAACAGTGGTTCGTAATTAGCAGTAATTAGCTTAAAGGCAGTTCTGTGTTTGTGTGTGAAAAGTGCAACACAACAGATGTGGCCTTTAAATAAATCCAACTCATGTTGAGCTTTACAATAAACAGCTGGTTAAGCTGCTACTTTTTAATATTCACTAATTTAACGCAGCTCTAATTGTTGCATTTTTTATCGGTTGTGGTCTCCATACTTGTCCCATCATCATCGGGTCTACTTGTCTCTGTTAAAGCTCATGATAAGACATTTTGACGTCTGAAAAAGCTCTGCTTAGTAATATTCATACTGACATTCTGGTGCCTAACATTAAAAACAAAATTGTGCAAATAAATAAAATATGCCATGTCAAGTTCTGGAAATTTAATTCATTTGATTGCTGTCAGTCTAGCAATTTGATGGTGCTCATATTTTTTACAGTTCAAAACTATTAATCGGTTACCGAACACAACTCATTAGCCGCCCTTTGGTTTTTTTTGAAAGTTTTAAATACTTTATATATGTATACACATACATATGTATACAAAATGATAACTATAAAAAAAGGTATGTATCCATAAGAATAACGATCCATAGAAACGATCGCAAATGTTTTAGGAAATATAAAATATATAAATTTACAGATAAGCCGACATATATTATATCTGTTTTAAATATATTAAACACAAAAAAAAAAAAAAAATAGTTTAATCTCAAATTGGATCAAAATATCTTGAAAACTGAAAAAGTTATTTATTTATCTGAAATATAATTTTAAAACGCAATTCTAGAATATTGTCAAATGACTATATCTTAAATTTGATGATATTCTGTTGAAAACTAAAAAGTTATAATCTTATTTTTCTAAAAATTTAACGATTGTTCCTATGGCAGGTACATACATATATATATGTATATGATATAGACGTCCGATCCGGTCCGTTCCGACTTATGTATGTATGTCCGGTCCGTTCCGACTTATGTATGTATGTATATACATATAAGTGAGATTTTATAGAATACTAACTGCAAAGCTTCATTAGGAGAGCTTAAAAACTCTGAGAATAGTTTGCGTAGAAGGGAGACAGACGAACGGACGGACATGCCTAGGTCAACTCGTATACTTTATAGGGTTGGAAATGATTTCTTCACTGTGTTGCAAACTTCCGACTTAAGTTATATTACCCTTAAGGGAAAAATATTTATGTATTGATATTTTAAGATTTTGTTACATGCCTACTTTATCGCTAAAACTATTCAAAATCTTTCTAAATATATGTATGGGAAATTTACCTTTAACCCTAGTACAAAAAAAACAAGAAAGGAAGCTACCCTTGCAGATCGAACTTCGATGACTTGGAATCCAGACAATATAAGTTATATATATTTATGTTAAAAAACAATGAAGTAATACCTGCTTTCATTTCATTCACCTATACATATTATATTTGCAGTTTTACATTCACAGATTTGCTTTTTCCTCTACATCTAACAATCGTTTGTATGGCACCTATATGATATAATCGTCCGATTTTCATTAAAGTTGATACAAAATTTCAGACTAATACAAAATGGCTATATCTCAAATTTGATGAAAATCTGTTGAAAACTGAAAAAGTTATAATTTTTAATTGTATTAATTTCTCGATCGTTTCTATGGTAGATGATATAGTAGTCCGATTTTCATAAAATTGTTATAATTTCTCGATCGTTCCTATGGGAGATATAGGATATAGTAGTCCGATTGTAGAGTAATATGAAATGGCTACACCTAAAAATTTGATAAAATTCTGTTAAAAACGGAAAAAGTTATAATTTTTAATTTTATTAATTGTATTAATTTCTGGATCGTTCCTATGGGAGATATATGATTTAGTAGTCCGATTTTCATAAAATTTTACACAAAATCATAGAATAATATGAAATGGCTATAGCTTAAGTTTGATAAAAAGCTGTAAAAAACTAAAAAAGTTTTAATTATTAATTGTATTAATTGCTCGATCGTGTTACACAAAACTGTAGAATAATATAAAATGGCAACATCTTAAGACTTTATCATTTTTAATGGTATTAATTTAATTGAATGCTGAAACAGTTATAATTTTTAATTGTATTAATTTCTTGATCGTTCCTATGGGAGCTATATGATATATAAAATACATACATAAAATTGTACACAAAAATGTAT